GCACCCACCCGCGGCTGCCTCCCACCCAGCGAGCCCGCCGTGGGGCTGCTCTCCAGCCCGTGGGCCTCGCAACCACCGTCCCACCGGGATCCGGACCGGGGGATTTTGTTGTTGTTGTTATTGTTGTTTTGGATACAGGCTGCCCCGGGCAGTGTAGCGATCGCTTGTGCAGTCGGACCCCGGTTGTTGTTGTTGTTTTTCTTCTTAGTATTATTATTATTACGAGACTAAAATCCGCCGCATTCATCCGCGTTCGCAACGGTGGTCTGGAGAAACTTGTCAACACTGATTTCGTGATAAAATGTGAATGATGATTTTATAAGGATAGAGCGGAGATATCCAAGGCACATGCTGACTGAGTCCTTCCAGTCCTCATTAATGTTAGCAATTAACTCTTTCACGCTCAATTAGCGCCGAATAAACCTGCTTTAATAGATTCTGCACACTTCATTAATACTTTGAATAAATCTGCGCTGAACAATGCACTTTATTCCTCAAGAGCACCACGCTCGAATAACGCGGAGCGAAAGGGCAATTTTATTCCCTTTCCAGTTAGTTTCCCAAACACAGATAAATTGTAAGCTCTATTTCCTCGCTTAAACTGATAGGAAGGGAAAATCTCGTCCCCTCAAAGGGGACAAAATAAGTAGCTGACCTGGTAGCAAGCTGCTGCACACCGATGCGATGCAGCCGAAAGGACAGGGCTACCAGACTTTAAAGGACTCAGACAAAACAGGGGGACTTTTTTGACAGATGAACCTGATTGCTGTAGTTTGAGGCTATCGCAAGAATGCGGCATTTTATGCCCGCTACTTTATCATGTTTGTAAAAATAAGCAACGTTCTCAGGGTAATTTACCTCCTCCATTCTTCCATGTGGAACTAATTAGCAAACCTCATTATTTATGAGTCAGGTATTTAATGTAACAAATATCCCTTTCAAAGGACCCATCGGAAATTGATAATTCAAGGTAGAAAGGAAAAATACCGACTAGCCACAAGATTACTTAAAAATCGATTCAATTTCGCCCCTTGCTACGCTACCAGCAAAAAGCCGGATGGATTTTTCTTTTTCTATTTTTGGCGTATAGGGGAGGTAGAATTTAATCTGGAAGGTTAAGATTACAATGGTCTTAAAACAATGGCAACTGGACAATAGCATTACCGTATCTTCAAACAGGACAAAGGGTAAGAAAGCTGGAGACAGATGTAGTCTTTCAAGTTTATGATCCTATTTTGCAGGGTAAATTTATCTTGGCATGAGTGGGTTTTGTTTCAGTCAGAACACAAGCAGTTTGTTCTTAATTACTCACCGAGCTAGTTTGTGTTAAAAAAAAAGAAAACCCCGCACGGTTTTATTGTGATGGGGGAATTCAAGCAGACAACTCGCAGGGTCTTCTTCTGTAAAAAAAATAAAAATAAAAAAGAAGCCCCGATAACGATCTGTTTACATGAAACAGAATTAAAGGTGGAGGTGACACCGAAATCAAAGAAACATTGATCTCTCTGCGGGCAAGCGGGAGAGCGGAGAGTTACTGCGCTGTGAAACACGTTCGCTTTGATGTCCCGGAGAGAGGGGACTTCTTTATGAAATACTCTGGTCTTCATCTATATTTTTGACTATGCCGGTCGCACAGAGCAAAAGTGTAGCTTACATTTCTGGAAAAGTGCCAAGAAACTTGTAGTAAAGTGAACACTCTGCTCCCACCTCCCCTTTTCTTCTTCTTTCTTCTTCTCCACACCCCTTCTTTTTCCCTTGTTTTCTTTCTTTTTATTTTCTTTTTCTTTTTTAGTTTTTTCTTTTTTTTTTTTTTTAATAATAGAACTGCTGTAGCAAAAAAAAAACGCGGGCGCAATGGATACTGTTATGATGCGACTGTATTTCTCTTGGTTTTCTGCCCCCTTCTTCATTTGGGAAATTGAAAGAGAATTTTTTAAATGTTATCGAGCAAGAATTTACCCAAATTGACATAGTAGATTTTTGCTTATATATTCTATATTAAATATTTGCTAAGGATATGAAGAAAGAAAGGGGGATAAGCCCAGAAATAAACTCAGTTTGCAATAGCATGTTTCATGTTTGGGCGATCTAGGACTACCTAGACAGGAAAACAGACCAGGGCCATTGCGACAGACAGAAAAAGACATTTCAGGTACCCAGATAAGAGTGTCTTCCACACACTTTGTTCTCGGGGTCATCGATTGAGGCATCTGCGCTGCAAAGTGGATGCGCCTAGTGTATGGGCAGCACTAAAAAAATAAAAAGCGTTTCCCAGTTGAACAACAAAACAGTCTGGTTGGTTCATCGGCCCTAAATAGTTTAAAGAAAAAAAAAGGTGGGGGGGGGAAGAGGAGAGGGAGGAGAATGTAGTGTGTGCATTTTTCAATCAGCCACTATGCAAAATGTATCCAATTAAAAAAGGCAAAATGTCACAATCTCTTATTCTGGGTCATTGCGATGGAATTCCTCTAAGGTTTGAGCCTCTCTTCCTGCTGCTGATTTATGTAAAGTGGTGTGAAAGGTGGACCTGGCTTATAGAGCTGCTCAGAGTAAGCTTCTCCCTCTCACACCCTCCCAGCCACAGCTCCTCAGTCCAGGCAACAGCCCACATATAAATCAGATTTGTTTCCCTGGTCTTTAGACCTCTCCAGCCACCAGTTTCCACCCCACCAGCCCAGAGAGACAATTACTGCTCTGCAGCACTTTGCTGTCTCCTTTTCCTCAAAGGGGCTTTACTCTTCACCGAGGGATAAACTAATCCTCCAGGCTGGGTGTTGCAAGGATCCTGCTGGGACCCTGTGGGGATCTCGTGAGGATCCTACAGTGACTCAGCAGGAACCCTATAGGGGATCTTACCAGAACCCTATGTGGATCCTTCAGGAACCTTGCAGCAAACCTGTGGGGATCTTATGAGCACCCTGTGGGGACTCTTTGGGGATCCTATGGGGATCCTCCTGGAAAACAACCCCACTGAGGGCAAATCCCAGAGTTCGGTGGGGGGAAAGCAGGTATAAGCTGTGGGCTCTGGAGTAGGCTCCCTGGGCTGCAGGGATGCGATGCCTACAGAAGCTGTGGGTGCTCTCTTGCACACGCAAAGAGGTGAAGCTGCGTCCCCACCACCAGCCCTTGGGAGGCATCTCCTGCCAAATGGTTGACAGCAGCCGGGGCTGAATTTGCAGGCAGGGCCAGATCCGCATCGATGCTGCTGCCTGGTAGCATTTCCCCCCTGCCTAGTGGGGTGGAATGGGTAGGGATCTGGCCTAGAGGAGGGGCTGGGGGCTTGGCAGGACCCTGAAACACAGAGCAAAGTGGTGGCACGCAGCCCAGGGAAGGGCCATGGCCCTGCGGCCCTGCAGCTGGTAGGCTGGGTGTCCCCATGGGAAGGGTCCCTCCAGCCCTCGCCTTTTTGCCTTTTGAAGGGTTCTAATTAAGCGATTGCCTAGATTAGGATGTGGGCTTCAAGCCAGGTGCTTCCCCCTGGGGAGAGCAAATGGCACTTCAGTTTTGTCACCCAGACTCAGAATTTTCCAATTTCTTTTTGCAGTACATAAGAGGGAGAGCTGTTGGCTGTTTTTTTCCTCCCCCCAAAAAATCGGGGATTTTCTATTTTTGAATGTGGGAGGACGTGCAGTTCTGAGCACCCAACTGCTTCCACCAGCCCAGAGGCAGAGGCTTGGCTGAGGACAGACCGCAGGGAGCTGAGCAACCCAGGGGCAGCAAGCTCTCGGCACTCCTTCTGTGTCACCTCAAGGGTCAGGGTTGAAGGCAGTTTCTGTGGACATAGTGGCAGTATCCCACCATTTTCTGAAGGCTGAGGGTGCCCAGGAAAGGATTTTAAATTACATGGGAGAAACCTGAGCTTTGTGGGTCAAAATAACATGTCTTCGCTGTCCCCATGCAGAGGATCATCAGAGGTCTACATGGCACAGGGATGTTACTGGGGGGTGAACAATTGTGGACAGGGCACAAACTCTGTGTGCGAGGAATGGGAAGAGGGAAAATCTGGAGACCTGTGGTGATACACTTGCAGCCAAGAGCTGGTCAAGCCTCTCCAAGCCCAAGGCAGCCTCTTCTTGTGGCTTTGGAGAAGGGCATTAATGAGGGGTGAGGTAAGAAATTCCCTCTGCTTTTATCTTCGTATAAATCCACCTCTCCCTCTTCCCCCCTCCATCTTTATTTTCCAGATCTTTTCCTCCCCTGTTCCCAAGATCCTCCTCCCGAGTGGACATCATGGGAAGTAAGACCCTGCCGGCCCCAGTGCCTATCCATCCTTCCCTCCAGCTCACCAACTACTCCTTCCTGCAAGCATTCAACGGGCTGCCCGCCGTGCCCTCTGACCACCTCTCCAACCTCTACGGCTTCAGTGCCCTGCATGCTGTACACCTGCACCAGTGGACTTTGGGGTACCCAGCCATGCATCTGCCCCGCTCCTCCTTCTCCAAGGTACCCAGCGTGTCGAGCCTGGTGGACGCACGATTCCAGCTCCCGACCTTCCCGCTCTTCCCACATGTCATCCAGCCAAAGCAAGAGGCCAGCAATGTGACCCTCAAAGCCAAACCCCGCTTCGACTTTGCCAACTTAGCAGTGGCTGCCACACAAGAGGACCACTCTAAACTGGGACAGGCAGACAGTCAGAGCTCACCCCCAGGGCTGGGCTCTTTGCTTGAGGTGACTAAACTCTCTCCAGAGAAGAAACCCACACGGGGAAGGTTACCATCCAAAACCAAGAAGGAGTTCGTGTGTAAATTCTGTGGCAGGCACTTCACCAAGTCCTACAACCTTTTGATCCATGAAAGAACCCACACTGATGAACGGCCCTACACATGTGACATTTGCCACAAGGCCTTCAGAAGACAGGATCACCTGAGGGATCACAGGTAACAATTCTTCCTCTGTCCTTTTTCCCTTGTGTATCTGTATTCTCCCAGTTACCCACCTACACTCATGAAGGTACTTGTAAGAAAAGTCATGTCCCTGGCCAGCCAGCAGTGTTCTCTCTAGCTTTTCCTCTGCCCGGTGCTGGTGGAGGAGCCCAGATAGCTGACTTTGGAAGACAAGCCTGTTGTACTCAATTATCATGAAAAAATGACTTGCATAGCCTCCTTTTTAGCTTCCACAGATATCTTCAACCTCCATTTGCATTGTCTTGTGTCCTCTGCCTTTGTGATCATTCAGAATTGTTATGAAGACACACAGCTTCGTGCCCTTGAAGTTAGAGAGAAGCTCTTTAACCCTAAGAAAGGCACTCTCATAAGCCTCTGGCACTCCTCTCTGCTTTTACACACACACGAACGACTGCCTGAGTGCCACACTCCAGCAATCTCGGTCTCAGCAGTAGGTGCAAAAAACTTCAGAGTGTTCTCCATCAAGTAGGTCACTGCTGAGTCCAGGCTGGTTATTTCTGACATCTTGATTGTTTTTCTCTCCCTAGATATATCCATTCTAAAGAAAAGCCTTTTAAGTGTCAAGAATGCGGGAAAGGATTTTGCCAGTCCAGAACGCTAGCTGTCCACAAGACACTGCACACGCAAGTAAAGGAACTGAAACCTGCCAAAATTAAGTGCTGAATCTCCAACCTCTATGAACTTTTCCTCCCCTTCAGACTTTACACCAAAACCAGAGCAGAAACAAAACTTGCAGGATGGGAGCACTGAACTTTGTGTTTTGTTTTTGTTTGTACTTTAAAAAGAGCAAAATCCACCCCTTCCCCGCCCCCCAAGAAACTAACTTCCTAAGTCGTGGGTGAAAAGATTATTTTGCATTTAAAATATACAGGAATGATGCAGAGAGTGCTAGCTGTGTTGTGTGGCTTTGATAAACTTTATGCCAAAAGGTGGTGCTCACGTGTTGGACAGGAAACTCTAAAACCAAAGAAAAACCCACAAGCCCCCCTCCCCCCAACCCCAACAAAACCCCCCAAAATCGTAGCTTCCAAAAGTATTACTTAAAGAAAAAAAAAAACAACCTCTTATTTTATACTTTTTTTTTGACTGTATAAAGCTTCTTATTTTTACACTTCAGGAAATACAGAGAATTCTGGAAGACGATTAAGAACTGAAATGATGGTTTCTCATCACAGCACCATTAGGACAAGGAGAAGGGCAACTTGCAAATCTCGTTTGCTAGTTTGTTTTCTTAAAAAAAGAAGAAAAACAGTGTTTGGAAATGACCTAAATGTCTCAAGTGGGGAGTCCTATCATGTGCTAGAAAACGCATCCAGATCTTAGACCTGCGTGTCCCCGATGTTTGGGATAAATCAGTGTTCATGGGACATGGAGACCTTTTTTTTCCCCTTGTGGTCTAGTGCGCTGTGAGGAGGTTTGTAACTTGTGGACTTATTTAAAAAAAAAAAACACAGAGGAAAGAAAGATGGCAATACGTCAAACTGACAGTATGCACAACGTGGTTTTAGTGGTACTTTAAAGTCTTCGTGCGTCCTGATGAGAGAGAACAAATCTCAACCTGAGAGCGTATTTTTTTAAATGCTGGCTTTCTGAACAGTGTATTCAAATTAAGAGACATTCCAATACGTTTTGTTTATTAAAAAAAAAAAATGTATGGCTGTTTGGCACTTTATGCTGATTATTGGTAATTGACATTTATCACTGGATTGTGTGTGTTTTTTAAGTATTAAAATAAATCGTTATTTTACAGGCAAGTCTGCATGGACTACATATATGTTCATTTGGTTTCTGGTCTCTTCCCTAGCAAACCCTTTCCGTCAATATTCAGGACATTTTTTTTCTTTTTTTTTTTTCCTCAGTGCTTGTTTCTACCAGCCTTAGAAAGTCTGGATCTTTCCTTTACGCTTAAGCTTTCCCTCTTCTCATTTTCTTTTTATTTTTCTTTCTCTCGCTCTTTTTTTTTTTTTTTTGGACAAAGGTAAACAGATCTGCAGGGAGTCAAATAATTTTGCTGCTAGTGTGGAAAAAAAATCGTTTTGGGTAACTAAATCTTGGGTATTAGCTGATAAGATTAGGTGTCAGAAGTGTTATAAAACAAATCAGATGAATAATGGGCAAACTGTTGCTGCTTTCACAGCCTGCAGGCGCTGCGGGGAGAGCCGCCTTCGCACACCCTTCCCTCCGCTTGGCAGGAGCGGGCATTTTTCAGTCGCATCTTCGGCCGGTTCAGCGCTGATTGGGGCGGCCTTTGATTCCCGGCAGCTGTCTTAGATCAGAGATGTTTATTCCACCGCGAAAGCGCTTTGCATCGAGACGGGGGGGAGAGAGAGCTCAGAGCCGGGGGATCGGCTTCAGCCTTTGAAGCGCCTCTTTGCCGTCCTTTCTCGTCCCCGCAGCAAACCCGAAACCCTCTTTCCTCCTCACAAGCCAGTGTGTGTCCCCCTCCCGCCACAAGAAAACTCTCCTACAAGAAACCTCTCCTGAAAATTAGGGCGGCGACACGTCCGAAGCCGCCCCGATCTACCCCAGCGGTTCTTGCGCGCCCAAGCGCGGGTGCTGTGAGGCCGCAAGCCGCTCGGTCCAAAGCGGCTCCTTTCCCCCCTTACCCGCTCCGCTTTTAGAAAATATTTCTTTATTTGGTCAAGGAATCCTATCAACGAGAGGGAAAAAGTTGCGGTTGTAACTCATTTAATGTAAGGGCAGGAGGGGGAGAAACCTCTCGCCCCCTCTTTTTCATTGGGCACCCGTTCGAGCGCATCGTAACTCATTTAAAGGCGCTGGCCGGGCTGCAGGGCCCACCTCCCGCGTGGGCAGCCCCTGGGGAAGCGCGGGGTGCCGCGGGGACGCCTCTGCGCGCATCCAGCGCCGGAGGCTGCGAGAAT